ATCGATTTTCAATAGCCATGGTTGTGTTCGGTAAATTGATGGGTTTAAGTTCCAGTATAGGATTATTGTTTATCAACAGCTCTTTAAGTTCTACATATGTCATCCCTCTGACTATCAGCTAACTCTTCGAAGCTAATTTGGTCGCAATTATCTAATAACTCGATTCGGGAGAGTATATCGGCTGTCACACTGTATTTGCCCGTGATGTGTGGTACATATATCAGTCGTGAAGATGACGGCATTGTTGCGACAACGCATTCACCAATTTTTGTTGAAACTCTTAATTGACCGGCTTGTGGTCGGTCAAAATAGTGCGTTGTTGACCCTCTAAAATGTTTTTCACATGTTTAACTGATTGATAGATAGTAAGTAAGAAGTTCTCCATCGCAGGGACGGTACCGCTGCTGAGTATCAGTCATGTGTTTCGAATAAAACTAACTCGATAGAGGAGGTCAACTTACCTAGGCTCAGACACCTTCGCATTACCGCAGACGGTATGTTCTAACAGGCGCATTAGAGCATTATTGTAGGATCGTCTGGCTAGACTATGGGAATTGCCGTACGTACATTATGTTTTTTTTCTTTTTAATTCTATTATTTTGTTTTCAGGCCTTCGAAAAGTAAAAATCAGATCTGGAAATTCAAGCACAGTTTTTCATTCCAATTCCTGATATTATTTGTTTTTTATAGTAAAGAAATTTATTGCATCTGCAAATTTCAATTTTATAACAAAGATTAATTAAAAATATGTAGCCAGCCTTCCAGTTTTTAGTCTACAAAATAAAAATAAAACTAAATACTTTATTGTAATAAAATAAAAAGACATATATCGAGCCTTAACCGCCAAAAAGATGTAAGCGAATTTTTGTTTCAAAATTTTATTTTGGATGTAGAATCTAGATGCTCTAGAAACATTTCTAGAAATGCATCAAATGTCGCTTACATCATTTTGGCAGTTAGGGCTCGATATATGTACATACATATATATGCAACATTTAAAACAAATATACATTTACTATTAAGTATGAAAATCGATATACATACATACATACATATGTAGCTAAATATATTCATTCGTATATCTTAAATATATGTAAAGGAATTTCTACCTAACTATTTCTTCTATACGCGATAGCGAAGCTAAAACTTAAATTAAGCGTTATAATTAAGTATATAAAAACAAACTACTAAACTATTATATAAAAATAAGGTATATGATTTCTAACAGAGCGGAGAATTAGTACCTAAACAGATGAATATTACATACATACATATTTCACAGAAAGCATTTGGAGCATTTACTTGAAACTGAAAAATATGAGAATAAAAAATAACAAAAGAGAAAATATTAAAATGAGTTAATAAATAAGACGTATGAATGTAATTATAAAAATATGATATTACTTTAAACAATGAAATAAAAAGTGCAGCCTGAAAAGTAATTTATGGAAAGCGTTTCTTGTAAATTACAACACCAATTTGGTAACTAAGGTAAGGCGTAGCATTTTATGCAGGGCA